ATCGCGTCTTGCTGTTGATGAAAGCGTCCAGCCAAAAGGAGAACTCCAACCAACCCGCTGGCTCTGATAGCCGTTACAATAGCAACATATATAAAGTTGAGCTCCAAACGGCAATGGCAGCGCAAGCAAAACTTGCTTTTTTTATATCTCCGTATGTGTGTCCGTCTACGCGTGTGTGTGTGTGTGTGTGAGTGAGCATGAGGAAAACAAAACAAATTGAAAAGCTCACATAAGCAGTTGATAGTGAAGGGGGCCAACATGGCGTATGATTATTGCGTTTGGGACAGCAGCATAAACAGTAGCCGTATGCTTAAGTTTATACGCTTTACGCAGCAAGCCAAAAGAATGCATATAGTAAATAGAATATATTCACCCATAATAGGAATGTAAAATATAAGGGTTAATTAAAATTTAAAAAGGTTGAAAACTATTCAAATTATTTTATTTGATTGCAAGATTTGCTACAGTTTTTTTTATGACAGTTATGACAGTTTTTTTATGACCTGAAAACTTTTTAAAGATCGGTCTATAAGCACCGATATTATCCTAGGAAATATTTACAATAGAGTGGTGCAAAGGAAATATGCATGCCTGCGTGTGCAATTCTATGTTTGTATGTTGGTTTTTGTGTATAGAAGAAAGCTCGCAACAAAGGTAGCTCAGCGCAAAGGCTCATAGCATCTACTAGTCGGATACTCCCGACTTAAGCGTTCTGACTTATTTATAACAATAATCTGTTTATGTGTATAGTTCTATATGCTATTTATGCTGGTTTGGCAGCGGCTCTGTCCATTTTAGCAGTACGTTAACTAATATGGTGAAACACAGAGTTTTTGATTTTAAGTTAATTTTTGATAACGTTAGGTAATTTCAACCCGCTTTACTTGAGCTTGGAAAGCTACTTTGATTTAGTGCGCCTTAGCTATAATTGTTAATAAAAAAAGAACAGCACGAAATTTTACACATTTAGATATTTAATCAAAAAAGTTTTTTGTGGTGAAACAAAAAACTGGCGACAATGAAACGGCAGACAACTGTAGTATGACAAAAAAATATAAAAAATGCGAATTTATGGTATAAAAAGTACTCATACCGAAAATGCAAATTTGTTTATTATGTTTTGATAAAAATATTTCACAAACATGAATATATTCTGCAGCAAGCAAAGAAAAACCTATAAGCTCCGTGCTCTACTCCCGCAACCAACTAATAACGCTGTCAACGCAGCCCTTGCCGCCGGGCCATGCAAATCTGTGTTGACAATGTTTAGCAATTAAAACACAGCAAAATGTTTCCACAACACACAACCCACTGGAGGATACGAGTGCGAGCTAGATTACGAGCACGAGAGTCTGTGCCAGTGATTTGATGACATGTGGCGCTGATATTTTAATCAGTTTTGACTGCCATTTGGACGAAATTCTGTTGCGTTTGGCTCAGCGAAATCCTAAAAATATGTTAAATATAAAACCATTTAAGCTGGAAATCGAATACAATTTTTTAGAAGTTCACAGTTTCTATTTCGTACTAGAGTAAATAATAAGAGAAGGACTTCTAGAAAAATGTAATGAAAAACGGAAAATTTATAATTTCAATTTGTCGTGATTATTAAAGTTTCACATACTTTTGACAATCGTAAACATATTTTCTAGGAGACATTCTCAACTATTTTGTACTAACCTCTATTTCTTCTTCCGATTAACTATAATAAATTTATATCACAGGCTGTATAAATTGCCTATTCGAGCAACAGCTACTGTTGTTAAACATTTTATCTTTAAACTTCCAATAACAATAACAGATTTGTAAACTGATGTGATTATTGGGGCGTAACTGGTTTGTTACATTCGTCAAATTGGCCATGTTTAGATCGTGTGCCTTCGCACGTGCTTTAATCACTCGCTATTCGTTTGGAAGACTTTACAAATAGCTAGTATTTGCTACGTAGAGCTGCCTTCAATTTGGTTTTAACTTGTTTATGGGAGTGTTGCTGTTTGATGTTGTTGCTTACTGATATGCTACATATGCACATTTTTATCGGCCATATATATCAAATGGAGCACAGCACGCACCAGGTAAAAGTCCGAGATGAATAAATGCGGTCTTTAAGCTACATATAAAAATTGGTTTTGATTGCATTCGTGCGGCAAATTGCATAAAGTATTAAAAAAAGTAGATGGTGTAAAAGTCGCTTCACGTTTCAATATGGTTTTCGGTTTTGCACGATCTTTAAAATATGACTGTAGTTTGGTATGATTTATATGACTTCTGGCACGCCTGCAGCTAAGTAGTTGCACCCAGGGCAACGGGAAATGGAAATGGAATTAATGCGGGCCACATACAGCGTCTGCAGCGTCTGATGACTGCATCGCTCCTCTGATGACTGGCAATCCCGAGGGGGTGTGGCCACCAACTGCTTCTAGTTATGCTACCCTGCCAAGCCCAAGCAAATAGAGTGTATTGCTTGGTAAGCGATGACCACAAGTAACTGGATACAATTAATTTACTAAAAGATATGAATATTACTCTTATAAAAATTGGTACTATTTTTATTGTTAATATAAAATTTATATATATCTATGTTTATCAACCTACCTATTTTTATATATCCCTAACAACTATGGCCTACATTTTAGCGAATACTACACTTCAGCCCGGAACCTCAGTTAACCAAATGACTGAGGAACTTGGACAAGGTCAATAACATATCGGGGTATTTAATTGATACCTTCACATTTTAAAATTACATATAATTTCAAGCTATAATTTAATTTGAAGCGGATATACAACTAGCTCGTTATATATACATATATATATATAGTTAATAGACTATACCATCGAGAGTAAGCATTGGCTGCTCTACTTGGTAGTATCTTAAAGTCATGGTATCTAACAGTCGAGCATTTGTGGAGCTATTCTCTAGCACCCGTTAATCCATCGTGGCTGACTACCGTCTGACAATTTTTGTCGTAGCATTGCACCCAACTTTAGCATATCATTTGTTATTGTGGCCGTTGGATGGCAGCCAGCATCGCACTTATGTATTTTGTCAGGCAAATTGCTTCTGCCCGGCTGACATGATATAAATAACTGGTACAGGCAATTGCGTTGCACAATATTTAAGAGCTGCTGCTGAGTGCAGCGCAGACTCGAATTTTAATTAACTTTTGGCGTGCGCAAAACTTGTTCATACAATGTATGTAATTTAGCTATTAGCTCCACGTAACTTATCGATTTGATTTTAATAAGCAACCAGCAGAGCGCTCAGCAACACACAGCGACAACTAATCCAATTAACACTTTTTCTGAGAACACCATCCGCAGCACCTGAGTGCATTGTAGTCGCTGTCTGCGCACAACTAAACTAATCAAGTGTGCTAGTTAATTGCTATAATTTAGTGCAGACAGAACCAATTAAAACAATTTTAACAATTAGTTCATTGTGCATTTTCTAACACAGACTAAAGCTACATATTTGAGCAATATTGTGCGTCCGATGATCTGAGAGTTACTTCTTAAGTAAAATCATGAAAAAATCGAAGGTCTAATAAGCGCTTGTGACCTTTTAAATATCTTTATAACCTCCACAACTTAACTTTTAAAAATAACCTTAAAAATATGCAAAATGTCATTGCAGTGTGCTTTAAAATAAGTTATAAATTTTATATTCGCGCGACCGCCAATATTGTAAACAAGCATTAACCAAGTGATTGGGACACCCAGAAGAGTGTAGCTGTCTGCACCACGCGGCGTATGCGTATTGCGCATCGCGCATTGATTCTGATTGCTTCATTTGTTTGCAAATACAGCACGCCATTCGAACCACCGTCTGCGCCATTTTGCAGCCAATGAAAGCAATTCGCCAGCCAATTTTGTATAATTTTGTAGTTGCGGGCTGCGTTTTTACCGAAGGACACTCTCAGTTGCCGTTGCCCGGTTACATTGTAGTCCTGCAACGAATGTGCCCCGCATCGATTGCGTATATCTAATTGGATTTCATTATGGGTTAGTCGTAAGCTGGTTCATTTTGCAGGTAAGAACGGGCACTATAACTAACAGAAGATAGATACAAACAATGTGGAAAAATGTTGAATACATAAACACTCTATTACGGAATCCGAAATGTTTAACGTCTATGTACATGTCCTGTATTTTTATTAAGAGAAAAGTTACTTATTTTTAAATTAACTAAGAGGCCCAATCTATACCGTTATATCTTTTATGAACCGCACCTTAAACTAAAAATATTTTTCAAAAACATCCGAGCCATAGACGAAACGGAACTACATTTCCATTCAATAATGGTTCGGTTTTAAATGAAACACGTTTACGAATAACTCTAAAGAATAAATAGCTTCGGTCCGCGCTTATGCATTTGGCTAACCAACTTTGGTATTTTGCATGGCTTTTTTTTCAGTTTTGAAGACCTGAAAATCGGATATAAACAAGCACTTTCCACTTAAATGCAAATTTTTTAAAACCGGAATAATTATCATTAAAAAAATAAATAATTATGTTAAAAAAATAAAAAATTAATTATTGCAGCATACAGTGCCTTCTAATATTTGTTGTCAAATTCTAATGTTGAATTCAACACGATTATTCTTGCAACTTTGACAGTAAAAGTTTTATAGCACATTAGCACGCTTTCCTCTGGTATTTCCATATTACCCGCTATCTTTGTCAATAAATCAGCGGTACGTTCGTCCGATACAGAAACTCAATATCCCAGCGCGCTCCCCTTTGGTAACCAAGCGGCTCACTTTACACATCCGACACTGGTGATAATGTCGCGCAACTCAATTTGGATGCGGTTTTTTGCCTGCACCCTTCCAATAAACATTATGCTCGCATTTCCCATTTGCAGTGCAGACCGAAAAACCTCTACAGTCCGACCTTTTCTCTCTTTCTCTACCCTCTCCATCTCTCTATCTCGCTCTCTAGATGTCTCTGTGCACACAGCCTGTCCATAACCGGCACGCTGTGGTCTTTGACATAGCTCATTGTTGTCTGCGTGCATTTTGTGTGCCGCGGCTCTGACCAGCACCCCGTGCCGCCATTATCTTCTCGCCGTCACCCACACCCTGCTTCCAGTACCCTGTGCAGCATTCATTGTCCATTGCTCCAAATAATGGCAATTTCATTGAATTTCACGCGCCAAAGTCAAAAAGTTGTTTGCGCGAACTTTTGCAGTAATTGCATTGGGCGTATCTGGCTGCCACGCCCACTCACACAAACACACACACACACACACACAGGCACACACACACGCTCGGGCAGCCCACTGATGTGTCTAATGAAGTTGAAGCATGGGGTACAGGCCACAAAATCGTTGCCACACCAAATGGCAAATGACATTTGAAAAGTGCTTGCAATGCGTACAGCTAATGACCAGTTTTCAAGTGAAGTTCAAAGTCTGACTGCACGCGCAAGTGAATTATGAAAATTGTCCCACCCACCTCCAACTAACGTCCTTCGGCCTCAGCTCCCTGCAAATATATAGCAAATTAGGCGCACAGAATCCCAGACAAGAACGTCTCTCGCATGGCAAGCACGTGGACCTGCTCCAGCTTCTGCTTTTGCTTCTGCTTCAGCTCCAGCTTGAAACACCTTTGGACGCGCACACACATGTTTGTGAAACTTTTTTGCGACTGCCTTTCTTGTGTGTGTGGCAAAACTTCACCAAATCACTTACAATATTCGGGACCCACAGTACGTGCAGGGCTTAGGAATTGCTGCTGTTCCTGTTCCGGATTCTTTGCTGCCTGCAACACCCACTGTCATACGCATCGAAGTATCTGCGACGCTTTCCATCTCTTACCCCACTGCTGCTGCTGTTGCTCATTCCCCGCCGGCTGTTGGTTTTCGGAGTTGCCGCTGCTACTTTGGCAAAGTTAATTTTCTTAGCGTCAAGCGTGAAATCGATATGGCCGCGGGCTGTTTCATAAGTTGAATTGAAACTCTGGAAATTGTTCAGGTTGCATTTTTTTTATTTTATTTTATTTAATTTTTTTTTTTGGTTTTATATATATATTTTTTTTTTTTTTTTTTTTTTTTTTTTTTTTTTTTTGGTGGGTGCGCGTTGCGTGAGTTGATAAATAAAATACTCAGAATTCCTGACTTGGCCGTAGGGATTGATTTTCTTATAAGTATTTCTGTACGCTGGCAAAACTTTGGAGCGCCGGGCGCCAGGCGTCGCAAAGGCAACGGCAGTGGCTAATAAAATTTTTTTACTTGTACTCTTGAGCAAACAAGTTTCGTGCGCTTTTTATAACTGCTATTTTATGTTATGTCTTTCATTTTTTCTACGGTTTTTGGTGTAGTGCAAGTTAAACTTTGCCGCTTTGTGGCGCCCCAGCAAATGAAGTTAATAATAAAACAGTTGCTGGGGCTACTTTAGGGTTGTCGCTGCTCAAAACCGTTGTCCAAATATTTGGTAGTGGCTCAAAGTTTCTGTTTAATTTGAGACCTCAGCAGCAGCTGGATAGCAGCTTTAAGAACTTTTGCCCAGCCATTTTGAATTTGAGATTATTATTATAAACTTTGATTTATTGTCGCACCGACGCCGTCAAGTCGCCCAGGCATCCATGCCAAAAGATACCGAATTGAATACAAAACGATGCGAGCACACGAGTGTACAACAAAACAAAGTGTTGTGCGATTATTAACATAATGTTTTACAACATTTCTATGCTTTTTCATTTTTATTTTTTATGCGGCGACAGTCGATAAAAAAAGTTTGGCAGCAGCTAACTTTGATAACGTAAAACGAGCCAGAAACATATTTTTCTTAAGAGAAGCAGAGTGTCTGTAGAGTGTTGGGGATTCACAAAAAATAAATACAAATAATAGTTAAGCTTACAACATCGTGCATTTTTTCCAAAATAAATAATTTAAAAATTATCCAATAGTTATTTTTATATTATATCATAAGATATAACGTTATATAGAGAGAGTATAGACAACAGCATAGTTTATATAATCATTTCTATCAGTTTATATAGAAACTATTCTCTCAGAAAACTTTTAATTTAATTTTACTTCTAAAATACACTACAAGAATTTATGTATTTAGACATTGCTTATCACCGTATTGACTGACAAGGGACAAGCACCTTTATTATCAGAGCAATATACAAAGTTCTACCACCAATTCAGGTGAAAAAACTTTGCTAGTTTGATAGCCATCAAATGATATTAGTTAATATTAAATTTATTGAATTTGTTATAGCAAAATAATTTATTTTCCTTACTGTATTAATATACAAGATTTTCTCTAGAGAAAACGTAAAAATAAGTTGACTGTGTTTGGTTTAGACCGGAGTCTAAAACCAAACAGTACATTAATAATAAATTTAAAAAAAGTCTTAGGTAATCTATAATAGACAGTAATCTGTAATAGACAACTATAATTTCAGAAACTTTTTGTTTGCGTAGGATTTATCTTAAAAAATGTATCGCACACTTTTTCCGTCTTTTACAGAGTATGATTTAATCAATTGAGATGCACAGTATAGTGTGTGCCCGTGGTTGTCAACATTTCGGTTTGATATCTGAGATGACAGCCATGAGAGCAACCTTGGAGATGCGCCTGGAAACTGGGCTAAGCTCGGCTGCCGTTTAGGCACCATTTTTATGGCTCATTAGCGCAGACGTGGCAAATACATAGGTGAGCTTAATTTTTGTCAAAGTTCTTTGATCTGCGGCACTTGATGTTGCTGTTCTTTGGTTGCTACTGCCATTGCTGTTGCCGTTGCCGTTGCTAATGATGATGATAATGATGATGATAAGGGTGAGCAGACAACTAGGAAACGAGGCAACCAAAAACCAACCGCTGGCAAAGCAGCTTCCTACACGTCACGCATACCAAATGAAGCCAAGACACAGTCAGGTTCAGTTGGCAGCTTTGTTGCCAGCCCCATCAGAATGCAGTAAAATCCAGCTACAAATTGGTTAATAATTCGACAAGAATCTAACGACTGAAAATCCAACGACTAACAAATTTGTGGCCCCTTAACTGCAACTCAACAGTTGTTAGTAAAAGAGATAAATAAAACTGCTTGAAAATTGTGCGAAAAATTAAATTGCAAAATAAACACAAACCGAAATCCACAGAAGTGATATTAAAATTTGCATTGATTTTGTTGAGATTTGGCCACAGACAGCAGCCGAAAAATTAATGCAAAACTTGCAACAAAATTCAATACAATTTATAAAACAACATTTGCATTTCCAATTGTTTTGGCCAAGTGTTGAGCAAATAGACTGGCAAATCCAATGAATTGTAAACCAAAATGCCGAATAATCGCATGTGCTCTGCAAAAAAATTAAAAGAGAAAACAAAATGTTAAGTGAATATACATATATACATATATGTAAATAATTGAAAAATATATATTTTAGAGCAAATATATTACCCATGCGCCCATGTGGACAGCCAGGTCCAGGCCTCGGAACAGAAACGACCTTAGCTTTAGCAGGCACATTGCTAAAGAAGGATTAGCCATTTTAGTATGAAAGTTTTACATTTGATAAAGGTGCATAAAACGTTGACATTAAGTTGGCTAAACTTAATTAACGGGCAGGGAGTTGTGGACGAAGGATGTCAGCCTTATGACATGCACTATGAACGGTGCCAGCTGCTGCCTGCTGAGCAAATTGATGGAATATTTCGCATTTTTGACAGCGCTGAGTTAGGTAGCCCATTGGCCTTTTGCTGCGATTTAATTAGACGCTTAGCTTGTTTACATTTAATTTGGTTTTATTTGGTAGCTACTTTAAGCCATTTACACGCATGCATAAATCTTCTGGACGGTCACTAATTATCTGCCAGCCAGAATCAGTTGGTCCCACATTAAAGTCAGTGCTGGCTAAATCCCCAGTGTTTTTAAAACACGCTCACGCCCATAACCACCCGACCATACACTGACAAGCAGCGGCTGGCCCACAGCATATGTCCCTAGTGCTGAGGTGATAAATTACCATTGGCAAAGGTGTCATATTATAACACACACAAAACCCCAAACATGCGGCACTGGCCTTTTAAATATACCTTAAGCCCAACACTCGCTCCCCCATTTGGGACGGCAGGATTCATATCCCTCGGCCTGGCGCATAACTAACGAGTTAAAAGGCAAACAGGGGTATATCAACTGGGGCAGCGACAACCGCAAATCCTAAACCAAATCAAAAGGGTCTGACCTGCTTATCACGGCCATAAAGTCAGTCAGACCCAACCAGCCCAGTTCTGGCTCTCATTTAAACTATTTAATATTGGCACCTGCCTTCCGCTGGCCCCCAAGACAGCTCGCATGTGGCCTGACACTAGGCCACTTAAATAATTTAAAACTTACCCTGGGTATGGCAACGTGACACGGCTTTGCACAGCTCACAGGCGTACACAAACTGTTTCCCAAGAAGTTTTAATCGCAGAGCTGGGATTGCGAGACAATATTTATGTTCTCTTTCCATTCAAAAACACACAACATATTTAGAAAACCTGTAAACAATTGATATAAATATAAATATAACATAATGAAGTAAATAATTTCAAACTCTTTATAAGTTATATATATTAATGTTTATGTTCAGTTAAAAAATGAAAGTTTTGCAATATTGTTTTAAAATATACTTAGAATGATATTCAAATCATGTAAGAATGTATATCCTTACACTTCCTAGCATTTAAAGCGAATGTTTTTAAAAAATGATTGCAATAAATTATTATAAACATTTTTAAAATTATTTCGTGAGTCACGTGATTTTTATGAAGTACATCTCTGCTCATGGCCACGAGCCAGCTGACACACATTTATTTGCGTTACCTTTCCTTGCAATCGTAAATTTCAATTCCAGCCACTTAACATGGTGCAAAAAGATTATGCGACAGCCCCTTAGCCCCTAAATGAAAGCAAATGGCAGACGAGGCCAAGATGAGACACCAAGTACATGGAACTGTTTAAATTGTATGAATTGGCTTGAGGCCTCCGGCTTTTTAACTAATTAAATTGTTGACGCAGAAACAAATAAAAACAAGACCAAACCAAAATAAAAGAACGAGCAAAAAAAACATAAAAATGATAAAATGGGTAAAGGGTCAACGGAGCGTTTTTAATATCTTGCTCCCATGTGAGAGTCAATTCCAAGGAAGGAATAATAAATAAGCAGTATTTTGCTGTGTGCGAATGTGTGTGTGTGTGTGTGTGTGAATAAATGGTGGGTGTGAGTGTGTGTGTGTGTTTACGCCTTTTAACCCTTTCAAATCAGACTCAACCGCAACGCTCGCTGCTCGTGTAAACACATTAATCATCCAAATGCCACAGACAGAGATCGAAAGTGCGGCTCCTTCCCCTATCTACACAGCGCTGCGGGTAGTTTGGTAATCATAAACAGCACACCGTGTAGGAAATTAAAAGCAAAAACAAGCTCCTGCAAATAAACCGAAAAAAGATAGAAACAAAAGGAAAGACAAAAAAAAAACAGGAAACAAAACAAACGGAAATAAAGAAACAACGGTCAGGACATGGCCCTGGCACGTGTGATTATCAGTGGCTTGACGTCAGAGCAGTCATACAATATGCAAATACTTTTGTTTCCCAGTGTAGCTATGCAAATTGGCTTTGTGTGACCTCCGACCGTTCCTGCGACCCGCTGCACAGCCACAACATTTTGTACGTTTTGTGGTTGAGCTCGTTTCGTATTTGCCGTCTGCTCCACAACAGTTATTATTACATTTAAACTAATTGAGTTGATTAGAGGAAATTGAGCAAATTCAGATTCAATGCAATTCAACAACATCAAAAGGTATAACAATTTGTTAGCACACGACAAACTCATTTAAAATGTATATTCAGCGATTAAAAATATTAAACATACCGATAAGAATACTTTTTTTTTTCCTTGACCTAACCCAACTTTGTCAGCTTATTAAAAAGCTTCTTTCTTATCTATAGAAATGAGTCAAAAGCCATATCAATTCCACTCACTCACTCTCTTTGCGTAATTTGGACTGCAAGTCCAATAGTTGAGTATAATGTGTTTTTATAGCGCATCGACGGATTAGGGTTAATCGTATATTATCTTAGCGACTTTCACGCTTTATCATGATTATTATGCGCAAGAACTGTCAACTCATGCTCAATCAGCACAAATAATTTTCAGAATAAGCATGAGACTTAAAAAAACAAAACGATATATACTCGTATGTATGTATGTTTCGTTAATAAAACATGCATATGTAAAACATATATTTATTAAAACTAATTAAGTGTCATTGAAATATAATCTTATATGTATATTACTTATTATCCAACTGATCAGTTTAAAAAAAAAACCTAAATATTTTTCATTTATACTGTTTCATCAACAAAAGTAACTTTAGCCTGCATACCCAATCTCGTGTCACAGCTGTTAAGGTCTGTGAACTAAACGGGCTCGTGCTCGACTAGGTCAAGAAATTTAGAACTTTTGTAGACTTCATTTTTTCTTTTGTTACTTACACACTTTGTGCAACTTTTAAGTGCTCTGTGTTTATTACATAGACCAAGATACCCTATTGTAGACTGGTAATTAAACATCAATTATATATAAATGCATGTTTGAACATACATTTATAGACAATGCTTTCCTTATATTAAAAAACCCGCATATTTTCAGTTGATGATTGATTAATTACTATCTGCCATGATAAAAGAGCTTAAAATCAGATTACAAAGTTTGTTACAAATACTTGTTAACTTCTAGTTAACCTATGCGAAGAGTATTACTTAGTCGAGCGTAATTTTTTAATGCATTATTATTTACATTTTGAGTCGTAGTACATTGATGATGTTCTTTCTTAATCGATTTGTTGAACCGCCACTAAATGTAACCGCAAGAGCGCAACTGAAAAGGAGAGCTAGACTCAAATATACCCTCAATCTATTAAAATTACACTTTTGTACACCACAATTAAATGATATATTATTGAGTTAAATATATGTATGATAGAAGTAAAAGCTTTGTCTCTTGCAAGCAATAGTGATCAACAGTAGCCGACTAAAAGATACCGTAACTAACATATTTAGCTAAATCCATATAATTCAGATGAAAATGTTGTAAATTTTCAATATGTTTTTAATATTGGAGGGAAATGGTGAAGGTACCCGAAAATTCAAATATTCTTGAACTATATAAGTTACTGGTACCATATACAGTGTGGGTGACTACTGTTCTTTTATTTAGAATAGTCTGGTCTCTGAATACCTATACACAAATCTGTATATACATATGTAAGTATTTATAAATAATTATATATATACACACATAAAGACAAATATTTATGCCCTGCTAACACAAGTTAATGAGCTTCAAACTGCGATTGTGAGTAGAATAGGATCCTTTGATACAAGTATTTTTTGACGCGAGCTTTCAAGGATATTCATGTACTTATAGTTCATAGTTCTTTACCGTTACCGTACACAAATTTTTCGTCCTATCCAAAAATTAAAAAAAAATCTTGTACTTAATCGTAAGTCTTCCCGAATTGGTATGTGTTCAAGACGTCTTCTAGTCGTGAACTCTCAACATCAACAATTGTACTATCAATTTTCAACTGAACATTTGTATTCAAAATTTTTAATGCGTTTAGCGGCAATAACTCATTACAAGCTGATTAGCTTGCTCAGTTGCACAGTTCGATCCACGAAATATATGTGCAGAGAGCTTAACACTCGCCGATAAGCGGCGCAGAGCAGCGCAGTCGTCTAGCTGGCTTATCTAATCACTATTGTTCGAGCACTTGGCCCATCCAAGTACAAAACAGCTCGACGGCTTGGTATGTCGGAACAGTCAAGCATTGGCCATAGAAGCGAACAGCTGGTTTAATTTATAAAAATAATCTTAAGATAGTGATATTATTGTCTATATATATAACTAAAAGGCCATCATGTTTTTGGAAATTGTGGCGCTGCTGTTGACCGTACTGCTCGTATGGGACTACCTTACGATGCGGCGTCAAAACAACATGATGGCTGCGGCTGGAGTAAAAGGACCCCCACAATTTCCGCTGCTGGGCAGTGCACCAATTTGTATGATGGGCGAATCCGCTGAAAGTAGGCAGTTTAGAAATGTTTAGTATATAGATAAGCAATCCAATAAGCTGATATTTGAACTTTATTGCAGCTATGCTGGATTTGGAAACGCGATTAATTGAAAAATACGGCAAAAATATACAATTAACCATGTTCCACGAGTACGGTTTTATCACCGCCGATGCGAGAATGATTGAGGCTATTTTAAGCAGTCAACAGACGATTACCAAGAATAATCTATACAATCTGCTGCAATGCTGGCTGGGCACTGGTCTGTTGTTGAGCACAGGCAAAAAATGGTTTAGACGCCGCAAGATCATTACGCCCACATTTCACTTTAAGATACTCGAGCAGTTTGTGGAAGTGTTCGACCAGCAGAGTGCCATTATGACGGAGAATCTGTACGATCGAGCCGATGGGAAGACTGTGATCAATATGTTCCCAGTCGCCTGTCTAGCTGCCTTGGATATTATAGCCGAGACGTCCATGGGCGTGAAAATCAACGCGCAAGGCGAGCCCAACTTTCCCTATGTGCAGTCAGTAAAGATGTAAGTGGATTAAATATCTGAAATACATTCCAACTAAAACTGTATTATCTTTCAGTGTGTCCAACATGATGGCTGAGCGTTTTATGAATCCTCTGCAGCGTTTCGATAGCACCATGCGCATCTTCTTTCCGCTACTCTTCCGCAAACTGAACCAGCACATCAAGGCTATGCATGATTTTACCGACAAAGTCATCTCGGAGCGTCGTGACACCTTACAGAAGTCCTTAAATGAGCAAAGTTCCACAGGTGCTGAGGAAAATGACGTAGGCAGCAAACGCCGCATGGCGCTGCTGGATGTGTTGCTGCAGTCTTCAGTGGATGGGCAACCACTAAGTAACAACGACATTCGCGAGGAGGTGGATACATTTATGTTTGAAGGACACGACACGACAACCAGTGCTATCTCCTACACGCTATATCTACTGGCAAGACATCCGGAATTGCAAACCCGCGCATTCCGAGAAATCGTTGACGTCATTGGCGCTGACAAGTCCAAGCCTATGACCATGCGGGATCTAGGAGAACTAAAGTATTTGGAGTGCGTAATTAAGGAATCGCTGCGCCTGTATCCACCAGTGCCCATGATTGGCCGCCAATTAACAGAGGATGTTACGCTAGGTAAGTCTACCATGCATCAACGTGTATCTTAAATGCCAATAATGCTAATCCTTTCATAGATGGCAAGCGATTCCCCGCCTTGACAAACATCATAATGCTCACCTACCACGCCCAGCGTGATCCAGAATATTTCCCTGACCCAGAGAAATTCAATCCGGAACGTTTTAGTTCGGAGAGCAGCAGCAATATCGATGTATTTGCATATGCTCCCTTTTCGGCGGGTCCTCGCAACTGTATTGGCCAAAAGTTTGCAATGCTCGAGATGAAGAGCACCGTCAGCAAAATGCTGAGGCATTTCGAGTTGTTGCCCCTGGGAGAACCTGTCCAACCGATTATGAACTTGATCCTACGCTCTAAAACTGGCATTAATCTAGGTCTAAAGCCACGTGTTTACTAAGTCTTAATTAACTGGCTTGATACTTAATTTAAACAGGGTATTAAATGGGCTAGATGAGGTGCTAAATGGGTTATAGTTGTATAATAAAGTTTTTAATAATAGAATTATCTTTTATCCTACTATGTATGGATTGAACCAAAATTTATCAGTGGTTGGGTTCACATAATATATTTAGCTTTAGGCTCGGTCAAATTATTTTCATAGATCAATTTTGGTTAAAGTATGGCTTATCAACTTTTTTTCCAATTTAAATGAAATAGCTAAATTAAATTATTTCTAACACAACATATTTCTTTATTTTCAACTGAGAATAAAAGAGTATAAATATTTCGTATGTTTGGCTTGGCTTGCAAAGGAATGTTACATAAAATATAAATATATAACATGTAAATGTTCAAAAAGTCTAACCCGGCATTGCCCGGACGAGTGTTGACTTTTCAGATTGAATTTATATATTTCGTAAGAATATTTTTCGTAAGCCTTTCGCCAATTTCCAATTTCCATTATTCGTTAAGCCTTAAATTAACGCAAAGTAGATTTATCAAAGTAAATATATCAAAAATATTCAAACCCAATACGCGGGTAAAGACTACACACTTCTATTGTGTTGATCAACAAAGAACCCTAACAGGATTTCAAATTTTCTTTTTAATTGAGTAATTTTCTTCTCTAGATAATGACCTTGAGTATTTATGAAGAGTACTTCACATTAAGTTATTCACTTCCCCCACTATCCACACATACATACCCACATTAGAGCTGTACATATAAGTGTGAGCCGGAATTTGTCTTCAATAGGTGATAACTCACTTGGCTAATACAGTTATTGGGCAGTATTCATGAAAAGCTGTCAATATAAATCACTGGCACGCACTCGCTATTCCCAATCAGAGAGAGAGCCAGACTTTTAAGCTAATTAAATTATATATACGCACCTCAGTGGTGGAACAGAAGATATGACTGTCAGCCGGACAGGGGTGGGCACACAAATTGCGGGGCTGTAACCAAAGTGCTGGACAAGAGGCACGCCCAGTGCCCCATAATAAGCCTCTTACCCGAGCAACTGCCGCAGCATAAAACTTTTGCACTACTTTGAAGAGTTTTTTGTCTCCGTTTCATGGCGAGCCAACAATAAGTTGACAATTTGCAAGTTATGAAAGTAAATAAGTGAAATAGTTTTAGCCGATGGCCGACCATCTCTTCCTAAAGATGCCTCCCCCACAATGCGCTAGCCCTGCTCTGTTCCATAGGAAAACTTCAGCAAATAAACACGACTTGCAACAAATTGAAATGATGTATTAGGCCGCAGGGGATTAACGCCCAACTAATAAATCTTTTTGTGAAGAGGGAAGCCAACATGGCCAACAGTCAAATATCCTGCTAAGGAACAGTCTCCCCATGTATTTGAAAGCCAGTTCAATTGTTTGAGTGCTTACTGTATGCATTCATATATGTATTAATAGGACAGTAAATGCTCTTATCAGAGCACTCGGTCGACTTTTCCATATGCTTCCAACTTCACGCTTTCATGCAATTTCTTGGGCTCTGTTTCTGCCGTCTGGGTCAATAAACCCACCAATTTTTTGCGCAACTGTAGCTGGAGACTGAGGACATTTAGTTGACATATAGATTTGTGTGTTGCGTGTCGAAATGCGTAGATAATGCGAGTAATTTGAGTTCTGTGCAAAGGACATAAATTGTAGTCTATCTGTCGATGTCATTTAGGGGCCTTTAATAATGGAGAAGTCCCAAGTTCTTGGCCTAATTAAAGTGTTTTAGGCACACAAACACAATTATACTATATATATGAATATATAAATGATTAGAATTTCTAAGATTAAGTATTCTGTTCGATAGGCTTACATTAGATAAGTATGGCTTAAATAGTTGGTTTCATAAGTTTTATTAAATCTAGAAAATCAATATTTAATTCAAAGAAAATATTGTTTTTAATAATCTTTTGGATTCAACTAACAGACACAATGGTCTTCGGCTTAGACCGAAGAAACCAACCTTAGAAGGAAACCAAAACATTAGGATTAAGTATTTACTTGTCAAAGGTATAAATATGTTGTTCATAATAATAATATTATTAAAGTCTCAACAAAGATTTTGTGAGCAGCTTGATGGAGGGCTTCTAAGAAAAGTAAAGATGAGTTACGTTTTTTTTTGTATTCACACCTTATTGCATGATACAAGAGCTGTACAGATACAAAGCTTGACATGCCGATATTATATCCCGCAGTAAAGTTCCGAATGATTTCTGAATATTGTATATATATATATATATATTGTATAATATAAGTATCTGAATTGTGCATTCATAATGATATGATTACTTTCGTATATTATAAATATTTCGCTTTCAAGCCCCATTTATCAATATGATAAGCAAATTTATACCCTGTCTTCGAGAATGAGCTGTATTAAAAATGTTTGTCTATAATTGATAAGTAAACGCCGATGCTTGATTTGTTTAACATTATTTACATTGAGATAATATGAACAGCTTGTACAAAGAGTAGGCGCATCAGCGGGTATCTGCGAGTCGTGCATCCTTCTCTTGCGCATTCTTACTCAATAAGAAGATTTATGAAAAATCATTAAAAATCAAAGCACTGCATAAGTTGAAACTGAGCCCTCCCTCACTCAAGGCCGTGAAGCATCGGAAAGTATATAGCACATTTATTGCTTTTGACATTGCGGGGTGTCCAGAGAACTTCAAAGTAAGTACTGAAATAGTCATCATTTTTTTGGAACGCCAAAATTTAACTTAATTGCATCATGGCGCTGACGTAAGCCGCACATTGGCCATGTACAATTACGAAGTTGTCGTTGTTGTTGTTTTTGGGCAAGGTTGACGGCTGGTTGTGGCAGCGACTGCTGCTGCCGTGGAGTGGTCAACGCCAGTGTGAAGTACAGGATATGGAAGGATATTTGGCAGTCTGACGGCAGCGCACTGGCTACGTTCATTTGCTAAGCGCATTGTGTGTAGTGATGTGAAGTGTTTGGCACTGGCCAACAAAAGCTGTCAATCCTGAGCGAATACAAAAAAAAAAAAAAACAAAAATAAAAATATAAAAAAAAGAAGAAAATGTTAAAGTGTCGTCTACGCGGCGTTACAATAACAATAAAGTCAACAATAATAGCAACGATACAACAAACAACAAACGCCACAATGCGCGTGGTATAATAGCAAAAGCTTTTCATATGAGTTGAGTTCAAGTTGCTTTTCGGGGGGGTAGAAAGGACCCCGCCTCGGCCTGGCATTTTGTCAGTGTATTTGGTGCGTTTGATGAGGCGTGACACAAAAATTGGAAATTTATCTTTGATCTTTTTGTGTAACACTCGATGGAATATACAATCCAAAATGAGACAATGTCCTCGCTACCCTTGTCATCAACACGTTGCCTATGATACTGAGGCGCTTAGATGTCAGGGACAGAAAAAAATAACAATACAAAAATTAAAATTCGAGTTGAGTTAAGAAAACAAATTGATGTTAAGGCTTCTCAGTGTCAGTTGACTCGAACGTAGGAAGTGTAATAAAATAAACTTAGAATATTGCAGTCGAATGCAACTGACTGCGCAATGCTCTGTTCAAGGCTCAACTACTTATTAAGGTAAACCTCTATGTGGTTATACATAGAAATCGGTTTTTTTTCACGCCTAAGTGGTTCACAAAAAAAAACGACGAAAAGAATTCTCAACACTAGAAGCCTTTTCTCTGTTTTCCAATAATGTGTTTGTAAGTCATCTGTTACCATATTTTTCATTACTTAGCTGCCCAGCAGGAGAATTGCCTAGGCGCAACGCTGCCCGCTTGCTGACCGATTTGCCTGAGACGCTAACTGCTTGACTTGGCCCTACAGAGTCATTTGTATGTTATCTCTTAGCTAATTAGTTTTATAATTATGTGTTACGCGATATAATTTGCTATGATATATGACTGACAGAAACAGAACCAACACACAGTCTCTCAATGCAGTGCAAGTTAAAGACATAGACTGAGAGATGGTTCCCTCCCCAAAGACAATTGCAAGGGACAGCTAGCAATTTGTTGTGCCTGCTTCTGTCGCTATTGATTGTCTGGCACTTGAAGTGCCATTTGGTGTTGTTTATAGTGTTGTTCTACTTGTTGTTTGTCCGCCACTTGGGCGACAGCATTGTCCTCGGCCAAGGAGCGTGCAACAAAATAAATTCCTGCCCACTGAAGCGCACAAATTTAATGTAATTTTTTAAAAAGCCATTTTTTTAGCTAGCCAGCCGATAAAACGTACTTATATGTACATATATATACATATTATATAAAAACCAAATATATATATATTTTATCTGTTCTCGGCCAGACCAGAATTTCAACTTGAATTTATGACAGTTGCCGCATACTTGACATGTGCGCTGGTTTCGGCTGTTCGGTGCCATTTTTGAGACTTTCCTACACCTAGTGCCTGTACCACCATCTACTCCACAATAATGTCGCCAATGTGACGCTACAAAATTAGTAGAAAAAACACAAAAAAAACTTTAAGCTACTTACATTCAGGCATATCGCTCTGCAGTTACTTTTTCACTTTGTAGCTGATAAGAGTTTTGCTTTGCTAGTTTTTTAACTTACTCAGTTCGTGGTGGAAAGCATATTGTTTTTCTCTGCTTTTCCTTGATTTTTTTTATGGTTCGCTTCTACACAAACATCGACATAAAATCTCTGTCACTCTGTCCTTCTTTTTTATCGGCCAGGGATCGCAGCGGTCGCCGTTTTGGGCAAAATATGGTCTTAAGTTTAAGAATTGTTCCTCTCCGAACTACGCAAACGATAAACTATTTTTCAAAAATGTTTTTAAAGACGGCGTTAACAATCTCTGTTGATTATGGTAAACTATCAAATATTTTTTTCTCACATGTCAACTTAAAAATATTATTATATTATTTGAAGAGTGTTTCTGAGAAAAAAAAAAGTTCTATCTATAAATGCAGACAATATGTATGTAGAATAAATAATATATTCATTTTACAAATATTTGCCACAACACACGCCAAAAGGCTCGCCAGCAACCAGTCCCATCAGGAGACTAAGAAGGAGAATTCTTTCCCAGATTTCTCAGAGTTACATTTAAAAATATGTTTACATTTGGACCCAAGCGCAGCTAAGAGCATCATGGAATTTGTCTAGGAGCTTGACAAGCAACATGTATATAAAGCGAATAAGTTTTTCTTACCTTTTATCCTCTGCAGAAATCAATCGAAATATTATTTAGTTAATTATTATTTAGAGTTAAGATTTAAGGCACCCGATACAATTTTTAAGACTTTTAACTTACTTCATAAGTAAAGTCATTAATAGTATTATTACTAGTATATTATTCTTAAAACAAAACGCTGCTTATGTATTTAATGCTGTTTTTTAGGCAAAACTAAAACAATTTGAATATAATTTCAATACAAATAAAACTGAAAATGTATTTTCTTAATGCCATGGATATTTTTACAGACCAACTCCGAATAGTAATTTATTTTATTTTTACAAAAATTTTTTTAGATGACAAGAGATTTTTTCCAACTGGAGTTATTTGCGATCATATTTTAAAGATAACACGAATCCAGCAATATTTTAAACGGTCTTGCACTTAGTAAACTGGTGTGGTCTTCTTCTGCTTTGTGGATAAATCCATTTCTTGTCATTCATTGTATTACATAGGTAATGTAGTCGAAGAACCAGTTTAAATACTGTTTGTATAAGAACCAAACTTTTATTTTGGTTTTGTAGTTAATCATAAAAAGCTAGTACATAAAGAATCTGTTAGCTCTTGCAAAAAAACTTGACCATATTTCATATTCACACTTTGGAATGAACTGAACTGCCAATTAACACCCAACTCAACTGTTTATTCATTATCCAGAGAGAATCACTCAATTTGAAACCTTTTGCACTTTAAATGGGTAGAGTGTGTCACTTGGAAAGCAATTTAGCTATCTACATCTTCGGCCAGATTTCACCGGCCTTTCACAGGCCGCACACTTTCTAGCCTATTTGCAATAATTGAATTTCACATTGTTGGTAGCCGAGAGCGGCGCACAAAAGGTAACAAAAGTGTGCCCCTAACTTAGCACAAAGACAGCAATGTATTTTTGGGAGCTGGGGGCGTGTCCTTTGATGTAGCAAATTTCTCGGACACTGAGCGCCTAATTACTTTATTGGTGACCTTTTTTGTGTAATGTCCCCAAACCCTAAAGTTCATTTGCTTGCAACTGCCAAGGCTGATCATTTGGTGACGGGGGTAACAGGGTATCTAACCTTTCAACTCCTTTGCCCAGCAAGGTTTCAATTAAGAGGCGACAGTCTGAGGGCCAGTTTGGTGTACTATTAGCAAGTTAATTTAATTATAAGCAATGGTGCCAGCTTGAGGGTTTCTTGTTTTTGGATTTGAGCGCAGAAAAAAAACTAATTTAGCATGGCATAATAGAAAATTATAATTTGTATTGGGGCTAACCATGAAGAGTTGAGAGCTCGTTGTTGGCTGATGGGGAACTCAATTCCGTAAACCTCACACCACACTGTGAGCCAAATAAACATGATGTTGCATAATTTGAGGCGTACCTAATAAATATACATACAATAACTGTATCGCATTAATCTGTCTGAATGAATTCAGAGAATTACTTAAATAACACAAATATGACCTAGGAAAAACAATACAGCTACTAAGAACAGAAAAAGAAACACACATGCATATCCACATAAATCCATATAAGCTACATAGCTTGTGTGAAGTACAGCAGGAGCAACGGGCACAGGACACGTGTGCCCAGGTTTATCAATTTTCATTTATGGATCACCTCGAACTTTTGTTGTTATTGTCCAAAATTTGAGCATGGAATGTTTTCTTTCTGCTGTTGTTGTTGAAATTGTGCCTGTCATTCTGCTTGATTGGCTACTAAACACATTTTGAGTTATGAGCTGATGTTGCCACCATTTGCCATGCGGTAAAGGTAAGGGTAAGTTCTGGTGTGAGAGTTGGATGTTGGAATTGATGTAAGTACGCATTGTGCGTGCGTGCGTGAGGTTTTGCGAAACGATAAATATTGAATTATTTGCAGCCAATCATCGAAGTGTTCCTGAAAGCTTGTGTGTGCTTGTTTATGCGTTTGGGCTAAGATATTCACAATTAAGGAGACAATCAATGAATAATCAAGTAAGTGCAAAATAATGAATGAACTACTGGACAATAATGTTCACGAAGTATACAACTTAGTTCGTTTTTTTTTTTAGGTGTGCACACCTATATTTATAATTTTAATTAGGCCTTATTTTCTATTTTAAATTATTGAACATTAAAAACATAAAAAAACATTTTCTCACATATATACCGACATCCAATTTATTCTAAATTTATTATTTATCTTTTTATTTATTATTTTATACACAGCTTTAGCAATGAACGATTATATATTTTCTGTTCAGTTATTTTTCATGTTTTCAGCTGCAAAAAATATGTTATACTTTTTACTTATTATATTATTGATAATAGATACTTACAAGTTGTAAGATACAATTCAACAAATCAAAAGTGAACTTAAAAGCGCGCTATCAAAAGAATGTATTACTAGAATGACACAACTTTAATATATAACTATAAAGAATTCACATTTATAAAACAATTTTTTACGTCGCTTAAAATCTTTAGTTAAATCGATTTATTGAAACCCTTTTTTAACATTCTTTTAAAAATATTATTCATAGCACTGCACTCAGTACAAATTAAGAGAAATTTTTGGCAAAGGTAAACAAAAGAGCTTATAAGCTGTTAGCTTCGTCCTAACAGAAAGCTTTCTGTTTGGTAACAGTTGTCTGTTGCTTAACAGTGCGCTGTAGAGCAGCAACTAAGCAGTCACATAATCAGCCGTTACAACGATTCCAATTGATTTGCGAAAGCTGCACACGAATGCCGGCAACATTTTTGTTGCCAATGAATGTGAATGTAAAAGAGCTCAATGTATTTTATGACATTTATTGCATGCACACAATACATAATTCTCATGTCGTAGGTGCTGCAATGAAGTTTACTTGATGCATGCCACTTGAACACCCAATCAAGTGAAACAAGTTCATAAATGGGCTCCATGGTAAACACTATAGAAGTCAGCGATTATAAAGCACGCACACTGCAAAATTAAATAATTTTCCCAAAAAACATGAACACACGAGTACAGATGTGTGTAAGTGTGTATATTGCCGCATACAGGGCAAATAAAATCACATGCACATAATTGCAATTTAATGTAAAAGCAACAGCACTCGAGCATATCAAGTGCGGAATGGACTGTGGACTGCCAATCCAGCAAGTATTTGTAGTCAATATTTGATATTTGCACATATGTTCAGCTGGCAAATTGAATATGGATTTTGCATAAAATACATAGACATACATTCACAACAAGGCTGATCTCGATGATGAACAAAAAAGCCAAATATATATGTGCCGTAAGTAGATAAATATTAAAGTGGACTGACCGAAAACCAAATTGAAAGCAGCAGCTAGAGACAGAGTATGCCACAACCTTTTACTGACCTCAATACAGACAATTTTGAGAGGGGGGTGTTGAGAAACAATTGTATTGGTTGCGATACAATCTATGTTGACCCGCAGCCTGGTCACATGTGCCCAAAGTCGCCTCAACTTGAATCAATAAATGCATGTAACATTATTTTCCAATCAATTAATTTTCGGGTCACTAGATTTGCTTACTACCAGAGCCTGGGCTGCACTTGTAGCCCAGCCCAGCCGGTTGAGACGGATCAGCGCCTCTGAGTTGACCAATGAACTGGTGAGTAAATCATATGGAATGATTTTATACATACACACAACATACGCACACACCCACACGTACACACATCGACCAAGGTACAGCAACAACAACAGGCAGTCGTTGAGCATAAATGTTTAATCAAATGAAGCATGCACAAATTGGGGTTCACTTTTGGGTCCTGAGTGTCCTGTCCAGTTCTGACCAGTCTGGTTGCTGATTTAATAAACATAAAATGTGTCAGCATTGTAAAATTATTTTGTCGCCCTCGGGCGCAAACAAAGAAGAACAACAACAGTCAGCAGTAAACATCAACAACAACAACAACAACAACAACAACTATCGGCTACAAAGTGTAGCATTAATGTGTTTGTTTTTGGGTGAAACAAATTTTTTGCAATTTTCCAATACATTGAACGCCGCGCCGCCTCTCTGCCCGACATCAGCTGCACCGTTGCGTTGCGTCGCGTGCATATCACTGCGTATACGTAGTATAATTCTTTGTGTCAGTCAATTTCGAGTCACAGCCAACAACAGTACAACAACAGCAACACCAACAATAAGAGCAACAAAAAATTGAGCGTAACGCATCAGACGGGCATCTGCTGCGGCTGATAGCAAGCCACGGCTGTTGCAGTGTGCAAATTTGTTTTATGTAATGAGCAATAAATATTAAATAATTGAATTCAATATGTTATTGTGGTTGCAAAATATGCAATTCGATTGGCAATTGTTAAAATACAAACACACATTCACGAGTACAAGTGATTATAGTAAAGCTGCAATGTTGATTTATTCGTATGTATACAAATATATTTGTCAGGAATATATTTTGTTGATTTTTTATATTTAAAAGCATCAGCTATTTTTCATTGTATTTATTATAAATGTAATGACCCTTTCTGCCTCTTAGATGAGGTACTTGTGAGGATCGACAAGGATTTTAATTATAGAAAAAGTTGGGAAATATCAAAATCTCTACCACACAACTATTCATTTGTCTAATGATATTTGTACACTTAAAAATGGTTAATAAATAAAAATGCAAAAAATATTCGCTGTTGCACTAAAAGATTAAACAAAGAAGAAAGCAGGCCTTACCCTATTTATTTTGCATGCATTTCACTTTCAAATCAATTCTCACAGAATAAATACTCTTTGTCACTTTTGCAGGCTGACCTTTTTGTATTTATGAAAGCTTAGAGCTTTGTTATGCAATCAAAGAAATATTAAAGATTTGAATGTGATTCGCAATATTCTGTTTTTCTCAAATCTTTGGGTTGTATATGCACTATTTTTTTAATATTTTATATGTTGCCTTAAATGAAAGGAATGCTAAGTTTGAGTGAACAGTCAATGCATATAAATACCAATATTGTAAATAAGAAAAGGATATTTAGCTCTCAGATCACAAAAAATACATGGCAGGAAAAAATAAGAAGAAAGCGTATTTATTTGACCCACTATCACGAATATGTATTAGGAACAATTTGAGTTAAGTGGTTTCCTTTAAGTCAGCAAGCTGTTAACCAAAGCTGATTGGTTGATTTCTGAACATAGAGGGTAGCTGAAAGGATAACCATGATAAGCCATAAACTCATCACTCATATCTGGGTGTAAAACCGACTGAGTGCTTTCTAATATGTTATTATCTGATGACTACATATGTAAATACCCATTAAGCCATGCAAAGTTTCAGACTCGCGTAGCTGTTGTCAGGCAGCGGAGATCCGAGAAGCAACTCTACTAGTTGTAATTAAAGTTTAACACGGGCAACTTTTCAGCATACAGACGACAACAACGGCAGTTGGCCAGCAGGGAGAAGGAAAAGGGGATGGCATAGAGCTGAGGTCTATGTTGATGCCACGCTTTAGATGGCCCCTTGATAGCAATGCAAACTTTTTTGGGAACATTTCTATAATAATGCGCCGCTGGCGAATGCGAGCGAAAAGAGTGTGAGTGTGTGCGTGAGTGTCTGTGTGTGAGTGTGCTTCCAATTCAAATTCATAGCCAAAAACGCAGCAGAACGCAAACGCACACGCACAGGATGTAAAGTTTTCGCTTATCGTTCCAGCAAAATGTTAATATTTGCTGAAACGAAAAACGAAATATGAAAAACTTACAGAAGCTCAAAAGCGTAGACTATGTGTAAATATATAAGCCGCATAAAATGGTAATTATAAAACTAAACTACAACAAATACACAAGCAGCTAACTGTTATCTGTAATAGATTTTGTTTTTGTTTTTACTTTTTGGGTGCGGTATAGTGTCAGCTCTGTAAATCTCTCGCCCCTCTCTCACTCATTCTCTCTCTCACTCTCTGTGTGTGCAACTGTGCGTATGATTATTATTGTAATAATTGTACATCCACCAGTAATGCCACTGTCTTTGTCTATTTTAATGACTTTTCTTTGGAAAATGACGAAAACTGTTTTGAGGTTTTGGCTTATTGTGGTTCGTTAACATTTGCTCGCCAAGTTTTATTTGCTTTTGATAAAGTTACCAGAGTGCTATGCGAGCAGCAGCAACAACTATATACATGACTCCTGGCGTTTGTTGGCTTTTATATACAATAATTTTATGTATGTATGCATGCATGTTTGAGTAGCATAAAAAGCAAGTTCATTTTACATTTCAAAAGCGCCTCTTGTTATGCTACATATAGCACAGCTGCCAACTTAACCACCCCAGGCACCCAACCCTCTAACTATCTAACCATCTAGCCAGCCAACCGCCTCTGTCCAGTTAGGTGCAAGCATTTGTTTTCATGCATTTCTTTATGCTCTTTAGCATTTACATTTATTGTTGTTTTTAATATTCTTTTGTTGCGGATTAAGTATTTATTATCATACGCACCAAGTGTTTCCGACAAAAACAAATAAATGTTTAATATGCGCACACACAAGAATACAATTTGTGTGCGTGTGTGTGTTGGCCATAGTTTTTCCTGCACTTTAGCTTGGCTGCCATAAGTAGTTCGCCTTGCATACATATATAAGTGTTGTATATCTATCTCTGTCTGAGTGTGTGTGTGTGTTGCCATTGTGAAAGCTCTCTCAAGTGCTCTCCCTTGTACTCCAACTGCCGCCCCCTCTTTGCTGTTGCCTTGCCAACTGTCGTTTGTAAGCGTTTTTTGCTGCCTGCTCTAAAATATGTTTTATTATCGTGTAACTCGCTGGTTATAGAAATACATACATACACAAATAGTAGGACCATATAACAGGTCCTACATACACTATTCACTTTTGTGGTTTTATTGCCTTGAGCCATGGCCTAGTAACTTGTGTGTGTATTTCCTTTCTTGTTAAGCTGCTTTGACTTTTCAAATATATTTCTGTATTTATCCAATGCTTGGATTAGGAAAAGGTACAAATAGCAAATAAACTTTTTCAACGGAAGTTGATTAAACAAATGCAAGGACATTAAGAAAAATTAAAATAATTTTGTCATATAGTATAAATCGGAGAATTAACTATATTTAGGAAATAGACTAAAACTTAGATTAATCCTGTGTTTATAAATTATTTAAATATGTCTTCCATTTTCTTGTAATCTATGCTCACATCTTCGGTCACATAATTTAAATAAAATTTTAAATTCTATTTTCAAATCAACCATTAATTAAAAGGAACATTCACAAATAATATTTGGTTTTGGTGAAAATATTTTGATTGCAATGGTAAGCATTATTCGATATTATTTTAACCTAAGAAATAATTGAATTAAAATCAAGTATATATATTTTATTAACTATAATGTTTTACAAATAAAAGAAAATAAATAACATTTGAACTTAAAATAAATAAATCAATTATACTGTCAATTTACTCTGTGTTGGCCACAGACATAGATGCTAGCTTAACTATATAGTTTCGCATGGCCCTCAAATAACTATAGTCCATAAATCACTTATTGTTAGCCAGACTGTTATGTTTCAGCTGGTAGCTCAGGCTTTGTCTAATTAATTCAACAAAACTAACGGACAAACTTTTTGGCATCTTATAAATTTTAAAATGCTTAGCTGTAGCTTGAATGGGGCCCGAGCCCGACCCCACCCAGTCGTTTTAATGGCATGTTGCTAATCGAATTTCATGGCGTCTCCAGTTTGCTTATTTGAATTTCTTAATTTTTTTTTCGCTCATGACAGTTTAGTTGGCAGTAGTTGACTCTTTTTTTAGTTGAAGTCGCGCTCAAGTTGAAAATCCATTTAGCGTAACTCAACACTTAAGCATATTTTGCAGAGCTGATCCTGCTGCTGCTTGCGAGCTGCTTCTGCCGTTTTTTTTATCAGCTCTAATATAAACTTACAGTCAGCTGACAGCTTTTTTAATTTATTTCATTAAAAATATGCACGCAAAACTTTTTCAATTCGCATGCAAAGCGACAGATTCCGTTTCCTAGGTTGCTGGAATTATATGAGGGGTTGGCGCCTGGCAACTCTGGAGTTGATTAGTTATGCGTTTTGGGTAGATTAAGTCGCATTAACAGCCATTAACCTTAACCCCAGCATTACCCCGGGAAAGGTTAACAATTTCAAAAGGCGCAACAACTCATCATTGAAAACTGAGCGTGTGGCAGACAAACAGACAGTCATACAAACAAACGTACAAAACTGATGCAAAGAGCAGCTGCACACTTGACTTTTCCCACAAATGCCCGCAGGCTGAGCTCAGCACGAGCCACCCACGACCCACACCCACCCACACCAATGTCAACTCAATTAAATCTTATCAAGCTGGGGAGCTGGGACACGCATGTGACTCCGGCCAAGCAGCCAACACAAATATCAAACAAACTAATGTCAGTTGTCATAATAAAGCGCAAATACTTTTGGTGCCACTTGCTGTACACTTGGCCACCCACATGCCTTCTTTTTCTGTTGCTGGCACAGAATGTGGTTAAGGGGGCGTGGAGTTGGGGAGTACAAAATGTACATACACACATGTATAAAGTGAAGTGCAAACAGCTGCGCAATTTAACGACGGAAAAGTAGAGCCAAGGGCATACAGGGCAAAAAAAGAAGGAAGGCAAACAAACAAACAAACAAACCGACATCGAGACAGCCAGACAAATGTACAACAAATATTACAGAGTATAAGCCTGTGAGTGTGTGTGTGCTTGTACGAGTGTGTGTGGTTGGTTGGGTGCATGTCAGACATCACTGTTGCTATTACGACTGCTTCAGCTGCCGCCTCTTTTCATACATATTTATAATAACTTTAATTAAGATTTTACAAGTAGATTAGTTCTTAATAACAAAAACAACAACAAACAGCATGCCGAAGGCGTAACGCAACTACACTACATTGGCCCGCACAAAAATCACGATAAGCAACGACAACAACATCAGACATTATCTTGTACAATATATTTGTACATCAGGTAAATATGCTTTTAGTACTCGTCGTCCTGACATTCCAGCTTTTGTTATTGTCAGGACCACAATTAAGATCTCAGTTTTTTGTTTAATTGGATTTTTATTTATGATTGAAATAGTAGTTCATACAAAAATGCTTAAGTGATTTCTTACAGAATGTTAATCAGAGATTGGGTAAGACTGCTATAGAACATGAATGAATGAAGTCATTTTTATTTTCGAGTAATTTTAATTTGCACTGACACAAATATGCAGATAGGAATAGTTCACCAGTCAGCTTTAATTAGAATGTCAATCTGTAATGGTTCTGTTTTTGGCGATTTTTTCATTGTTTTGTTTTTATCTTTGTTTAGATGGCTGGACATTAATAATATCATCCAAATAAATGTTAAGCTAAAGGAAATGTATAGACCTACATGCGTATCAAGTTCTTTGTAGGAGCGGAAATGTTTCATAGAAAGGCACACAATATATGAATCACAGGAAGATCATGCCGATTCTACCTCGATTGCAATTTCTTCATTCGGCATATTAAGGTAAGGAGGAAATTATTATATTCTAACTACTTACATTATTTTAACAGTAGACTTAGACACTATGTAAAAAGAGACTTCCTGAACTCCTTTCGAATGAAGAGCCAGAAAAGCAGCATACTATATATATCCAACTATGGCTACTATTAATTTGTGTACCCAACTTCCATGCTGTACGATCTGATGCCAGGTTATAATTCCTTTTATGGAAATCCATGAAACAATATACAATAGTATAAAAAGCTTATACCAAAGCGTACTGTTTATTTATTCTGAATTAATGTATTGTAAAGAATAATCTGTTCAGTTGTACTATTAAGAATTTGCATTAACCATTATCTCTAAACAATGGGATGTTTTAAGCATTTTAATTAGTCAATTAATAGAAATACTAAATGTAGTTTTAGTACAATGCAAACATAAACTAAACACTGTTCATACAATTTGTGTTGGCTTCCAACAACGATGCATAAATATAGAGACTATTTACATACAGCGCAACTAATAAATAGCATTGGGTAAGTAATTTGAGCATTTCGTGTTCATAAATTTCCATTAAAGTCCACACACATTATGCAGTAGACCATAATACGAACAGGTCCCAGCCACTAACACACACAAAGTCACATAATGCAAATCTTGAGCTCGGTCCGTCGGTCGGTCTCACCCACTTAAATAAGCGTTCACTGCAGCCACAGCCGCAAGGCAATAACAACTACAACAAGTAACAGTGCTCTATTCGGGCGTGCCGTACTAAAAGATACCCTATATACTTTTGTGTCTTTAGCTTTTATATTCTCTAATCTATAAATGTTACAAAATTGATGTTCAAATAGAATATATTTATTAAACTACGTCTGTTACACGAAATTCTTTTAGTATTCGAGATCGATACGCTAGATCGAATTGAATAATATACATATACTTGGTGGGATCAATGATGCTGCTATCTGCATGCGATATTTTTTACATAGGCATAAAACCGTTTACCCTGTTTATCATTTCTCAGAGGGTATAACAGCTGCAAGAACAACAAGACCGTCTAATTTCATTATGGCCAGCAAATCACATGTACATAATTTTTTAGCATTTAGCCACAGCTGACTGCCATAGAACCTTGGAACTTCGAGAGTGTTTCTCAAACAAAACACACATAAGCACACACACACAGGCACACCAACTTACACAGACGTGCGTATTGCTGTTAGCTTGTGCTTGTTCTCCAGGCAGTTAGCAGTGGCACTTAAAAATTAATTAGAGAACTTATAAACAAGTGCGGCATGTGGAAATTAACTCGAGCGGCAAATCAAACGCACTTAACAGCGTCGGAATGCGGCGCTGCACAGATGCACAGGTTGCATGCAACAAGGGATGCGGTGTTGCAAGAATGCTCATGCTCATGCTCATGCTCATGCTCAGGCTGTAACGTGAGCTGCCACCTGCTACCGGCAAACATTTGGCGGCGTTGCACGTTTATTTAATGAAAATTGTGTGTGTAATTATGCATTAAGCGAGCCGGGAGGGGCAAGGCTGCCGCCTATTTGCCTAGGCTAAAACACACACAGACACAAAACAAAGAGTGCTGAAAAATGTGCTGCATACTTTACGGGGCTACTTTAGCATAAAATTTTAATTAGTTTGGCTTGACACGCCTGTCAATTAGAACCGAAAACTGTTCGGCCCAATTGTGCATTGCAGCCTTTCGAATATTTGTGGTAAATTTGTAAATCATACGAATGCATTTACCAATTATATTATGCATGTGTCTACAAAATTTGTTATATATTTATAATTATTTTCTTGAAAAAACAAACACTTTAACCTGACTTCATTTATTGGCAAGTTTATTTATGACTATCTTCAGCTCACAAATATTCAAAATTCAGGCAATTTATGCAAAGTCAAAAGAGCAAATCAAGAAACAATGACTATCTTTGTCAGGGTGAAGCTCAAATACCCTTGTACACACATATATCACACATATTTGTATTTTCATACAAACGTTTTGTTCTCTACAGTTTCATTTAATAGACACCATACAACATAGCTGACCCCTTTAATACGACTTATACGACGTATATACGTACCTATGCATAGTGTCATGATAATAAATAAGACTCAGAGACTAGTTTGAATAGAAACAGACAGCCGAAGAGACGGATATAGGTATATCGACTTGGCTGGCTGTTGATTCTGTAACTAACACCATCTTTTAATAAGCGAAACATCACTGAAACGCGTTCATAATCCTATTACTATTCTATTACTCTCTTCTAATCTATTACCACACGAATAAACAAATATACAAACCAACATGCTTCTATAACCACTGACAGACAAGCAAAAAGCCCAACTTTGGATAGATATAACAGATTCTGCGTATATCGAAATAGAGAAGAAAACATAAGTAGCAAGATGCCACAACAAAGCTCTTTGAATGTGACACTGACGTCAAGTCATATACACACACCCATACATATACACGGTACACATTTGCTAGGTTGAGCGCATCTCTTTAGAATGTTGTTAGTAAAACAAAATGTCGGACAATTAATTTACGATAACATGTAATCGTGGTAAGTTAAGTAGTTTTGTTTGTAATGCCTTTCGATGAGAACAACCACGTCGATGACAAGGACAATGACTGGAACCCCGACTCGGACAGGACATAAGGCTTCAGTTCTAATGAAATTGTTGTCAGTTGCTGTTCGAGCATTGGGGGCGGCTTTGAGGTTTGTCCCAGAGTTGTACGAACTGCGTACACATTGGATTTTGCTTTTGTTTGTTGCCTCGTGTTACGCCTCCAACTATGCGTAGGAATGTCTGTCTATTGCATTGTCATGTTCATTGTCATGCCAATTATTTAATTTGTCCTATTCAAACACAACAAAAAATGTTATCAGGCTGGCACTTTAGAAATGTGACTAGTCGCCCCTGGCATGTGCATACAAAAATTTGCGTAGGACGAAATAAAAAAAATACGAAAATAGGTATATTAAATATTTACATAAGTACATCAAAGTCGATGCTAAGTAATTCAAACTATGAAGTTGTCTTTAGAGCACTTAAAATTTTATAAAATATCTTGAAAATCGTTGAAAAGTATTTTCTATTTATAGCTGAATTTCAAAAGTTACTAGCTGTTAAATCGCTTCTTAAAATTCGTCTGAATAAATTACGTTATCAAACTACGAAATAATTATATTTAGTTCCAGCTTATTCGAAATTTATATTTTCAAACTACAAACTTAAATTCCCAAACAATTTTTCAACCATCGATAGTATCGATGTGAAAATAAAGCCACCCACATTCGACAGTTTTCCAACACTACTTAGTAGCAATTTATGTCTTGCTGAAGCACTCATGCGGCACGTGGCACTTAGTCCTCGCTCCCATGTCAGCGCTGCCACAAGAAGGCAAACAACAATTTATTTATTAATAATTCAGCAAACTGCATAACTTATAAACCTGCCAAAACAAGTACCCCACGCCGCCCCGCCCTTTCACTTGAAAAAAACTACGAAACAGGCAAACACAAAAAACAAATTCCAAAAAATCATAAATAACTAAAACCTTGTAAACATGTGCATAATCCGACAAGACCCGAAACTAAAACAATGAACAATGAAGGGCACACCAGTTAAGCTGAGGCCCAACAACGATATAAAAATCACATACATAACCGAGTTACTTTTAATCCTCGACACACAATCGACACATTAATTTATCACTGGGAGCCAAAGGAAAAGCCTTTCAATTAATTCCAGAGCACATCACTCGACGGGTGGCCCAGACCCCAGCTAGAAAAAGGACTATAAATACTTTATCGCCGACTGGCGACTGTCGGACAATTCGAATTTTGGGCATTTCTGGCATTTGGCATATTGACTTATGAGCGCTGATTTGTAAGCAGATTTTCTATATAAACATATAACATAAGCTTGTAATTAATTCACGTCCAATTTTTTATGACTTTGCTGCCAGGGCATCTATCTTCACAGCTTGCCTTCAGCCAGTTACTCATCTGAGCGAGTGCATTTTTGGCAGGCAGTCAGCCGATGCATTTTCCGTAGACCGCAAGATCTGCAAATGTCTTACTACACTTCTTCCTCCTTATCCATATAAATGACCAAGCTACTTAAAACAGGCGCCAAGAGCAGCTGCTAATGGGATTACACTAGGCATCGTGGATTCAGTTTCTGGAGACAATTTGGCAAGGTGAATGAACTAGGAAAAATCGGTTGATTGTAAGCGGAAATGTTTTCTTTTAACCAGGTTGACAAGGTTGTTGCTGCAGCCCACAATATACATGGGCGAACTGACGAAATAAACTGATGGATACACTTGGCATATTGTACATATGCAAATGCCGGCAGCAATCGGGCCTAGACAAGCCAATGCGAGCCAAGAGAAGCCGAACCGAGCTCAAGCTGTAAAGGATGTGGTAAGTAAATACTAAATTTAGTTGGCTTTGCCACACAACCGCAGCGACATTTCCTCTTGGCAAGGCGTCGACATTCTTCTTGTCTGCCTCAACTTCAATTGTATGCACTTCGTGGCAGTGGCAGTGTCTGTGGCAGCGGCAGTGGCAGTGGCATATGAATGCTTCTGCTTAAGGATTGCTGTCTCCTTTTTGCTCTGCCATACGAAAATTATGCAAAATAGTAGCAAAGTTTCAATTTCCTCGCCAGCAAAACTAGAGAGAAAAAAAATAAAATAAAAAGTAAAATAAAAGAAATAAAACTGAATGAAAGGGTGATGTGCATGCCAAGGAGCATAGCGTTGAGCAGAGTGCAGAAATGTTGAAAATAAAGAAAATGCAAAGTACAAAATTGTGGTCTCGTATAAATAAGCGTAACTTATGAAAAGTTATGAAAAACTTTTGCTTTACAAGGCAATACGTAATTTGGAATGTGCACGACTATGTGCGAGCTGAAGCTAAAACTCCCCCCCTGGACATTTTGGAAGTCAGCGATCTGTAGTCAAAATTTGACATACAACTTTTTCGGTTTTATACGTTGTGCGTACTTGTCAAATACGATGAAAATAATATTGAAAACGACAGATGCAAAATATTTCAGTGTACATATTTTCAACATGGCCAAATATTACTGTGGTAACAGTGGAAGAAATACAATTGCAGGTTTCTTTACCAATATAAAAAGATTTACAAAAAAATCGAGTTTCTCGAAATTCTTGCTGGATACTTATTTAAAGGCTTGGCTTTTTGAAATCTTATATAAATTATCAATTTTTAGACTAGAAAACAAGTCTTAATTTGGTTAGTTAGTTAAAAACACTGAAATAAACGAACATTTTTGCCTGTTATCTTCATTTTAATATGAAGAGCTCTAAAGATGACTTTGCAGCAAAACGAAGGAAACTTTAACTATTGTTCATACAAGCTTTCACATTCATTTGCCATCCAGGTGATTTAATCTTCTGAAATATATTTGAAACATATCTGAATTTAATGTGCACAAATTAATAATAAACAAATAATAATTAAACAAAACATGCATTATGTAACCCTTTTCCAGAATTTACACACGTTCAAGTGTTTATACAAATAAATTTGGGAAGCAAAAAGTTTTGCTCTTGTAATTGGTTGAGGTATTATAAAAAATACCTAAACATTATTACTCTTCTCTCAATAAATGTAAAAACGTTGATCTTTAAAATTAATGAAAACTTTTCATAAAATATACAAAATATTATGATTCAAACTAATTTTTGAACACATATTTACTGCTAACAATTTGGTTCTGCAAAAATACTTTCACAACTTCCAACTGTTTAACCCAACTTCCAAAGCCAAAGCATACCAATACATGCACTCCTATGCGTGTATGTGTATATTATGTGTATTCCAATAAATACTTACTTTTAGGTACATATTGTATGCAACTCCATTATGAAGGCAATAACCCAACGACATTGCCCACAGGGCTTCAAAAAGAGATAGTTTATAGTTTTAATTTTCAGCAATTTTGCCGGCTGGCAGCACACAGAAGCAAAAGGCAATACACACATACATATACACTCGCACAAAAGTGCATAGAGGCCATAACGATGGAAAGAGCCACATAAAAAATTAGCATACCACATAAGACAATTGCCTGTCAAGCGGCGTTACAAGACGGTTTTCGGTTCTCGGTTTTCGGTTTTTTGGGGTCGAGCAGTCGCCAAAGGGTTTCGGGTTTTTGGGGCGATGCTATTTGATTAGGCCAAAAGCTTGTTAAGGAAATTTGACTGGCAAGTTGAGTGGCTGCGTCTTGCCTGACTGGCTGGCAGCAGCATCATTTGCATATAGTTTTGGTCATATTTTTGCAACGACTTGTCGACGTTTCTTCCATTGCCAAGCTTCCACTTCTCCGCCTTCTTCTTCTGCTCCATCTGAAGAAGCTGCGTAAATTTTGTTAAAATTTAAGTTTAAGTTGTACATTTTGGCTGGGCATACGGTTCGTTGACTGCAACGGCAGCTGCATAAAAAGTAAATTGAAAACTATCTTTGAGTGCTAACGAAGGTAAATATTGTTTCATTATGCCGCATTTGCCATTCCCAGCAAATTGTTGCATAATAAGTAAAATTAAAACAAAACAAAACTGCCGGCAGTTGCCCACGTGTGTCCGTGTGGGCGAATTGTCTAAATAAAATTGCACAAATTGTAATGCATAAGTCGCTTGTACACAAAAGTTAACTTTTTATAACACTCTTAATTGCCCGGCACTGTTCAGAAGCGAATTAAAAAGGGTTTTTGGCTTTTTGCATAACTTTCTCAGCATTATGCAAAAGCCACCGCATTATGCAGTATGTCTGTGTGTGTGTGTGTGTGTGTGTGTGTGTGTGTGTGTGTGTGTGTGAGTGTGGGTGTGTGAGTTTTTGTGTGGGAGTGTATTTTTGTTTGATTTAAATGCAATTAAAAGTTTCAATTAAAATTAACAACAGCATAAACCGACTGTCGCATTTAACAAAGTAAATATTATGCAATTATAAATAATTGAAGTGCTAAAGTCACGTGCACGAAACGCATTATTTATGAACTATAGTGCTATACGTACCAACAATATTTGTTAATTGTTTAAAAATTATAAGGCGGTCACTTTATAAGCTGGACCATTCGGGTATACACATATATTAAATATGAGCTCGATTAGTAAATATTTCTTTAAGTTATCAAACATTTTAAATACAAAACATTTCTTTTAAATATCATGTATTCTCATTTTTAATACCTAAAAGGCTATTGTGTTTTTCTACAAATGTATGTATTATAACAGATAGAAGAAAGCATATTTGTTGAACTACTCGAATGGAGGTAGCGTCAAAGCAGGAACAGTAGACAGGAACAGTAGACAGGGAAGATGCCGGTTCCCAGACCCCAGATTGCTCCTGAGCGCGCATATTTCTTATCTTTTACTATACCTCACATTATTATGTATTTCAACAATTCTTAAGTCCTTAATATTCACTTAGACGACACAAACGCTTAGCATAAAAGTATATTTTTTATAACTACTGTTGACTAGAACATTTAAAAGTTTATGCCACACTTTGACACTTTTCTCATCCCTATCGGTCCATTAATTTTTTGAATTTTTAAAGTATTTGATCCTTTAAAATCTTACCCCCTTATGATGAGGACTCTGCACATTTTTTTTTAAGATGTCAATCCAATTGTTACTTGATATACTTCGCTTACTCTTAACCCACACTCTCTGATGGCCTGAAAAAGTTTCAGATTTCGCAGACTAGTTCAGCCTGTAGCTGTAGCCATGCCCAATATTCTGCAACCAAAACCAAAAGCAAACATTTTAAATGGCAATTTATAAGTGACAATTGGGCCACAGACCAAGGCACCGTCTCGGCTCGACTGCAGACCCTTCTCCACGTCTCGGTACGCGCTCGGGGTAGCTGGAAGCATGTGCTAACAGTTTTTGTGTAGTAATATAATATGCACAGCATGGCTTATAATAATAAAAACGCCAGCAGCGCCTGTAGCAGCAGCCGCAGTAGCTGCAGGACCAGCAGTCATGATAGCAATGCTATCACCAATGATACCCATGGCCGACCATTGACAGCCCGCGGCTGTCATACGCGTGATTGTCCCTTTGAAATATGAGCAGCTCCTTTCAATAACATTCAGCTGCCTGATTTCGACACTTTGCAATACACGCACAATCAATGTGTGTGTGTGTGCGTGTGTGTGTGTGTGCAAGGTCAAATATGATAAAGAGCCAGAGTTGGGCAGTATCCCGAATCGGAGGCAGAGTTTTGCTAGCTTTTATTATGCCGCAGCCGTCGTTGAGGTTGCTGTCCGGGACCAATTCCAATGTTTCGTTTGTAAATTAACTTTACCGCTCGCGGCAGCGAATATTTTTAACGCAAGCTTTGGTCTTTTTTTCTGTGTACCCTGCATACAGGGTATGCAGGAAGAGCTAAACGCTCAATCGAAAGGTGTGGTGCTGCCAATATGTTCGGGATTGATTGGCCCGAGAGAAAATAAGCTGATGGTCAGAATTTAACTTTGAAAAATATACAAGATTAAGTATACAATACTACCGCATTTACAAATGTGAATATATCAGTGAAAAGATCAGATATATATTTAAAGTGAGCTTAAATGAGAAGAAGTAAATTATAAAGAGAAAATGTTAGGGACCTGAAAAGGAAATTTAGCAAGGGTCTAAGCATAAAGTCCATCTATAGCCAGTTTATGCTTTTTATCCACAATTTCAAGTACTCTGTGGTAAAATGCAGGGCATCTGCCACGTGAATATTCCCCTGACTCCTTTTGTTAACATTATTTTTTTCCTGTTTTGTTCTTTGGAATGAGACTTTGAGTAGAATGTGGACGTATCAAATGCAACGCATGCTTCGAACTCTCATCGACAACGTCTTCTCGTCTGCTTGCCACGAGGAGAACAACAACAATTTTTTTAAATTAAAAAAGTTTTCGGTTGCCGTTCGGCACGTACCAATACGCAGCGACAACGCCGCAGATATATGTACTTATATATATATATATATATATATATATATATATACATATATATATATATATATATATACTGCCCGCCTGTCGCCCGCATATTGACAGGCCGCGAAAAAGTAGGTTGGAAAAGTGGATACTGGTAATAAATGCGACAGCAATCGGCATGCATAGCATGTCCATTCTCACAGTATAGCCGCCCACACCATCCGCTTTTCCACATGCCAGCGATTTTTCAAAATTTTTCTTTACAGTTTAGCTTGCTTGCTGCGTTTGCTGTATTTATGTCATTTTCTATGCAGTAAAAGCCGCAGTAAAGCAGAATAATGGGGGACTGGCTACGGGACGGGAATCAAAGCAGATTGCGCTAGCACGAGGCAAAACTTTGTGGCTAATATTTCCGCGCTTGGGTTAAAACGTTAGGTGAATTCATTTTTTTTCATTTGTATACCCTGTATCCATTTAAGCGGCTGCAGCGGATGAATGGAACGAATTTAGGTTACAGATTTTAAAACAATGATAATCCACAATGAAATTAAAATCGACATCTCCACCTACTAAATAACGCATCTTGTTAGTCTATCGGTCGTCCTATGCCTTGACGTATTACAGTCATTCAATATCAGAAGATTCAATTAATATATATTATACTTTAATGTTTGTTTGAATTCTATGCAGGGTATTTCCTTAACAAGCAATCTTGACATTTTGCCTTGGTTGGTGAAATAACGAACCGAATTTTCGGCACAAAGCGCTTCTGGAATGTATGATTTGATATAAAAGGCTTAGCTTTGATTGCCCTATTGCTGATTTGGGAGTATTTTGGGACAGTCATTGTAAACTGTAGGTATATCATTAGGAATACAATAATTGAAGGAACTCATTTTATACTTTAAAACAATTGAAAATGGGTGAAATGGGTGCAATGGTATTAATACAAAAAAATTAAAAAAAAAAAACAAAAGGAGGCATCTGTAACCCCACAAAGTGTATATGTTTCTGCTCCGCGTCAACATCCGAGTCGGTCTAGCAATGTCCATCTGCTTGTCCGATGATATCAGAGATTAAAAATGTTGCCAGATCAGGAACATATTTTACATCTTAAATACACGTAAGTTTCTCAAACCGAGAATTTATAATATTTTTACCAAGTATTTTTGTTTATTATTTGTTTTATTCTCACAATCAATCTAATCCTATTCTGTTTCAAACCTTGGTTCACAATTTGATAATTATAACAAAATATTTACAATTTTCAATTAACAATTAACAATTGAATTGCAATATGGAATTACTCGTTTTGTGCACACCAAATTTAATTTGACACTTACTAAAGTTGGTTAAATAATTTCAATGGCTGAAGCGATTTATACTTTGAGTTGGGGTCTTACTCTGAGCCATTCCTTTTTTTAAAAGAATTTGGTTTGTTGCTGGCTGTGGCTCGAAAAAGATAAATTGAAATATTTGAAATCGAATTCAAAACCAGTGTGGTTAAAGACTTGTTAGCAGCCAACGTGATGTTTCTTTAATGGCCAAACGGAAATCTTAGCTTGTTTTATCGATGCGAAAAATCTATTTAATCTGATTTTATTCAGTGCACATTCCGCACATATCATTAATATAATTTTTTACTTTATTTTTCAAAGCATTTGTTGACATACTAGAGGCATAAATATCAAAAAATAACTGAACGCTTTTGCGGGTCGACACATTTCATTGCTATACGAGTATAATTCATTCAGTCATTCCATCAGTCACTCAGTCAACGCCTAAAGTTTTATTGCTTTGCTGCTGTCAACAATGTTTGTTGTTGGTTTGGTTTGTTGGCTGCTCGTCTGCTGTAGCTCCAGATCCTGCTCCTGCTCCTCTGTGCGGTGTGGCTTTAGGCAAAACGCTGTGAATATTACGCCACATAGTTGCCAGGCGCTAGAGAAGGGCGCGTTGCTTATTTTTTAATATTTGAGCAAGGGCTACATGTCGTATGCGCAATGCTGGCCAACTGCCATATACGCAGCTACTCCTTTTCGTCCTTTGGCCGTTACTGGTTGTTTGGTTGCTAGTTGCTGGTTGTTGGTTGTTAGTTGTTGTGCTGAGACACAGTTGGGCAAATATTTAAGCTTTGTACGTCATTTGCCGGCAATGATAATGTGCTTCATGTTTACACTGTGGCAAAGGCATGGCAAACTGTTTACCGGCATTGAGAGTGCCAGAGCGGGTGTGAGGGGAAGCTAATATGCCATGACTGTTTGCCCATTGGCATTATTGTGCGCCAGAGCTTAGATATACTACTTACTTGCTGTTCAACAAATGCATCCATTCAACTTTAGAGAGAGCGCACTTCATTATCAACTCATCAGAGGCACTGAAGTCTCGCAAATATGTAGATATTTTTGGTAGCTTCTCATTTACATATGCAAAAATCTAAACTATACCCGAGCATTGACTACTTAAGAAAATTGTTTGCCAATGCCAGAGAAAGCAGCCACAAAGCAAAATTAAAGTATGCTGTGGGTGATTGTGCCTGTCTGTGTGTGTACGTCTTTGTAATAATATTCAAATTGCCAAAATCCATTATGATCGCAAATATTATTTCAACTGCCAGCTAGTCAACCCAAAAAGTCTCATTCACCTAAAATCCAGAGAGTCTCTGCAAAATGCTCAGCTCTTGCATCTGCATCCACTTCAAGCCAGAGCGATTCAAGAGAGCTATGTTAAACCCGGAAAAAACCATTAAGTTGAGTGTACAGTGAAAACAGATTATGAGTAAAATGTTTGGTTTGCTAAAAATGTGGAAATATAAACAAATTAGTTTATCGCAACTAAGATAATTTAAAGTTGTGATGTGGGACCTATTAATTAACCTTGATTCGGCTCATTTAAATATTATCTTTCATATCCTTTAAGTTAGCCGATGTTGATTAGAGCATAGTCCTACTGTACTTCGGCATATGCATTTCAATCCAAACCAAACTTATAACCGGCAAAAATGGGTTAAAAGTGTTGACAGTTAGACAAAGCGCAAATTATACACTCAGTGATTTGGTCGACGTTTTTGATATGCCATGGGCAGAGTCCATGACGAAAGGGTGTACAGGAAAGGGAGTGGCAGGCATTGGCGTTGATTTGCTTAGCCGTAAAAGTTACAAAGTTTGATGGCGCTTGGCTTGCAATGCTGTTGAAATATTT